GCTAGATTCGCAGTGCTATGCTTTAACCCAATGCACCACCAGGGAGGGCCCTAGGTATATTCCTTAATAATGTAAACAGTCCAAAGAAAAAGAAAACTTTATCAAACTTTGACTAGGATAGGTTAAGTCATGCAACACTGAAAACCCAAAACTCCCACTAACTTCAAAATAGACTTATTTATAACTCCACCTGTTAAACATGCACCACAGGTCAGCCGAGGAGCTACAAGCCTCCCAAACACCCCAGGCTGAGGAGGCCCATCTCAGCACACACTTCTTCAGGCGCCAAGGTAGGGCAGAGAATGCTGCAGATTGCACACTGGCTCTTAAAGTCCCCACCTCAGGGTGACTCACATCCCCTCCGCTCTCGCTCCACTAGCTTTGGCCAGGTAGACCTTGCAACCCTACTGGGTATCCAGGATGAGAACAGGAAACATTTAGCAAAAGCATGAAGGAATAATGCACAATCTTTACATGACGTTTACTAGGGCAAACACACAACCACAGCCAGGAAACTTCTTTATTTGCTAAGAAGAGAAACTGAAGCTTGAAGGGAATACTAACATTTCTAAAAATAGCAGCTAAATTTTAGAATGTCCCCTAAGTCACACCTCTGGCAACTGTAAAACATGCTTCAAAACCCAGGGCTCTTCTCTCCCCAGGGTAAACTTTCTTTCCATTCCACCTAAAGAGCCTCAAATCTTCCAATGAGAATGTTCTTTCCATGAAGTGAGTAATCACCAATCTCTTGGAAAATAAAACTCCACTGAGGTAAAACTTCCAGCAAATTATATCTCCAGGGCCCTCTACAACCAGATCAGCAGCCTTGTGCATTTTTAAACTTCTCCTAGGAGACACTTTTGCAACACTATCACATTTCATACACTCATGTGCCCATTCAACACACACATTTACCCCCACTCTGCCAGATGCTAAGGAAATAGCAAAGACAAGAAGCCCAGGATGCCAGAACATATATTCAACATTTAAAAGATGCTATATTAATATTAGTTGAATATGACCATTTGTCTCTCTCCTCTACCAGAAATGCAAATTCAGAGAGGCCAGGAATTTTTGCAAATTTGTTCACAACCAGCCTTGAATAAGGCTAAATTTTGTTGAACAGATAAATGTTAATGACAAATGGATTAATGAATAAATGAACATAAAGTTATAAAGTCCCTCCAGAACCAAGTGGGGAAAGGCAAACCTGGGTACATAGTACATGGCACGTTAAATGATAGATGAATACATGAATAATATAAAAGCAATAGAAGAGGTAAACTACAGCCTCAGTATTCAGTCCAATCAATACCTGCCTAGTAGGGGGACAATGTTTTCCTTAAGACAAAAGCACAAGAGGGGCATTCCAAGAAAAGGCACAACACGAATATGGACGCTAGCAACAGTCTGACGTGCAAACCATGGCACACAAAGCAAAGTGGGAACTGGTGGGAGGTGAGAAGAGGGTTCATCCACATCCTCCAAAAAGTGGACTCCAAAACAGGTTGAACTACACCAAGACTTTCTCCCAGGAAAGACCTGTAAACCCAAGGGAGGTAAGAGCACAATGCACACTGGACATGTGGGGAAGGAAGGTGGAAAGGAAATATCCCAAACAGCACAGCAGAGTCAGAGGGCTTCCAGGAGCTCCCAAGCCAAAGTTATCTCCAGGAATGGGTCTGCTTAGTGATCCTACCACATACGCTTCTTAGCGGGGGCCACCCATGGAAAGGTGTCCTTGGGACAAAAGCCACCATGGAGTCTCCCCATGTAATTGGGAACCTGGGTCAGGTATTCTCCCTATACCTGAAGAACACTGAGGCCTGTTCTCATGGCCACCACAAAAACAAAAAGGCCACCATGGCCCACCTGGAAAGCTGAACTCGAACCTGCACAAAAGGGAATCTAAACTTGAAACTCATGTCATGAATCATCCCAGATTTCCAGCTTCTCTCAATTAACAATGCTGAGGCAAAGCTAAGTTTGGCTGGGCCAAACTGGTTTGATAGAACCCTCCTTACTCCCTCAGATTAAATTCAAAGTTAACACTAGAACACGGATCTCTTTCTTTACAACATGGCTCTTGTTCCCTTATTAATGAGGGACATTTCAGTGATGACTCCTGAAATATTCCACCTTCCTTGTTTTCTATAATAAATCATAAATAATTCAGAGCTTAATATTCTAACAGAGTCTACGACAGTCATCTCCTAGAATGCCAGACACCCTATGGAATGATATTTGGGTATCTTGAAAGCATTCGTCTTTGGCGTGAAATTTTCCCAAAGACAAGACTGGCCCTTAAAGTTAAGCTTCCTTTATAAGGCCCTTCTCTTTATGAGTTACTATGGCTTTAGTGGTTCAGTGTCTCAGGGAATCTGAGGAGAAAGTATCTTCACCACTTTCCTCAAAAGTCCTGGTATAAGCAGGACTTCCTCCAAGTCCTCCAAGTACAGGAATCTAGCACCTCAGTCTCCACTGCATTCAAAATAACCTCCAAAGAGGGAGCCCCTAAAGATCTCCCTTAATTGCACACTAGCTATTCAGCAACATCAAACAAATTTCTATTGAACCACAGTGACCCTGACACTATTCGGAGGATTCAACATAAAGTGAGACAAAACTCTCTCCTTTCTTTCTAATGAGGGGTCAGGAGACGCTCCCATGCCTTACACAGTATTAGATCCACGGAAAACTTTAGGCCATGATCAAAACCATCCCTATACCAGATGATAATTATTATCTTTAATACATTACTTGAGTGTCAAAGTAAAAGGTCAGCATCAGCTCCTCAACACAAAACTTAGGCAGCCCCTGAGCAGTTTTGATGCAGAAGCTCTCCACATACCTCTGACTCGACTTTTTGTATTTTTTTTCAGCACATTTTCCCCACTGTCACCTGCTCCTTCTTCTGCTGCCACCAAAGCAAAGAACTCTTCCAAATTTTCACCTTCCACTTTTGCCAAGCAAAAATTACTGAACTTCAGTGTGCCAGGGCCCTCCAAGAGGATCTATAAAGATTAAAACATGTGCTCAGAAACAAATTCACTCTGTGCTTCCATCAGTACCTCTTACACTCACACTAAAGAATTTTGCATATTTGCTTTCCTGCTTAAGCACATCTGAGAAAATTAAATGCTTATAACTTTTTAAAAAGCTAAAGTAATATAACTAACATTTTTATAATAGAATCAAATATTAAATTGTCCATTCTTAAATGTATGAACACATCACATAACCACAAAGAAACACAGGTTTTAGGAAAAAATAAAAAATCGTGTATATGGAACAATTTGTACTCTCTAGTCCTCAGTGAGATTCCAAAGATTTGAAAACTCACCTGTCTGAGGTATTCATAAAGTAAAATGTAGGGTTAAAACCAAGGGTTTGGAAGTTAGAGATCTGAATTTAAGACTGGGTCCACCACTCACTAGCAGGCTGAACCAGAGAAGTTACTTAACCTTCCCAACTATGAGGGGGAAAAAATTTGATTGTCAGTCAGACGAAACATAGTTCTTCAGATTTAAAGATTATAAATATTAAGTAAGGTTATACATGAAGGCTTTTAATAGTGACTCGCAAGCTAAGAGCTCCAGTTGGCTAGTGTAACTTGTGATTAGCAGGTATCTGTTGAAACCATGCCAGGAACTAGTGTTCTATCCTTTTACCTATTTCCAATTAGTGATACAGAGTCATTAAAAATATTTCTGAAAAATATTCTGGGCTGTTGCCATAAATCAAGTGGCTTTTAAATGGTTTTCTAAGCAAATTAAAGCTTATCCTTAACTTCTTGTCACAAATCTAAAGATGTTGGTTAGTCTAGCAGTGATGTTTAAGCTTTCCTTAGCACCAGAGACCCCTGGAAGACTTGATTAAAAAATATTGTTAAAATAAACTGTATTATTAAAATAATTATTATTATTAATTAATTTAATTTAATATCACTAGTGCCTACTCCGAGAGTTAGATTCAAAAGGTCTGGGGTGGGCCTGAGATCCTGTGTTCCCAGCAAGTCCCTGATGTTGCTGATCTGGCAGGGGTCAGTAATTTTTTTTAATTAATAAATATTTGAGACTTGGCAGACCATAAATTATGTATCCTGACTGTGTAACTCTGCAACCACTAATAATATATAAACAATAGGGTGTGGCTAGGTCCCAATAAAACTTTACAGAAATAGCAATTCTGCCCAACCTTCAGCAACCCAGTTCTAGAGTAAAGGTTATTCTAAATCACTCTGAATACCAGAGATTATGAATAGCTGAGTCTAGAGCTCATTAAGCAATACCCACACAGGAGAGGCATGCTCTGGCTTCTGGTCCAAATCCTACTCATTTCCTCTAGGTACAAGCTAAACATGTTTTTTTATATTCCGATGGAGGAGAAATCAAAATAAGATTATTTCTCGATATGTGCAAATCATATGAAATTCAAATTTCAGGGTCCATAATGAAGCTGTAATGAAACAAAGCTTCTTACAGGGATCTCTAACCCACAGTGAAGTGGGTATAGACTTGAGGCAAGTACACGAATATGTCAAACAAAAATTTCTCTTCATTATGCAGTTTCTATGGTTTTTTTTTTTAAAGATTTTTTTATTTTTATTCATACATAACTGGGGTACAGGCCAGAGATGGGGAGGGTGAGGATTTACTAGAGACAGAGTAGGGAGCAGAACAGGCAGATCAACGAAGTACACTGCTGAGGGGAGCAGCAGGCGGGTCAGGAGAGGTCTGCCACGCCATGTGGATCTCCTCAGGGGCAAGCGGGGATCCAACTCATGCGGAAGTGGCTTAAGCAGCTTAGTGCAGCGCTTTAACCCGCTGCGCCACCACGGAGGGTCCTCTATGGACTTTTTTTTAAGTTTGATTATATTTTCATGCAAATGGCCCACATTAATGTCTGACAAGGAAATTTGACCTTTCAGCTAGTATGTGTGAATTAGAAGAAAAAGCAGCAGTCAGACCAGTAGTACATATAATTCCTAAGTGTATGTAGACATAGAGATAATAATAGATGCCATGACTGGGACACACTGCCATGGAGGATCCTAGAAGCTTAACCCAAATATAGTGTAATCCTCACAGTTCCCAATGTCTATATGCCATGTCTGTATGACAGAGAAGAAAACTAACACACACAGAGGAAGGAAAGGAATAGATAGGTCCAAGGTCACATAGTGTCTAAATATCAGCACTGACTATTGGCTAAGAAATTTAGCTGACTTCATGATCCTACTACACTGAACCACATTTATAGTTTTATCCAAAAAATCTGATCCATAGTATCAGGAATGATATCTGAAGAGCAAAAAATGCCATTATCGAACTAAAATAATGAGTCTAAATTGTATACTATCATTTAAGAGCTAAAGGTCTTACTCTATAGATCTCTTGAATTTACCATTCACAATAAACGTAAGCTGCAATCATTACTCAAACAAGTCTGAAAGAAGGGGAGACTTCATATTCTAAAAGCTACTTCAATAGGTAGCTAAGAAGGTAATTTAAATGGAGTACTGTTTTCTTTCATTTTAAAAAAAAGTTAATTTAAACTTTCAAGATATCCCACATCATATTTTTATCTAAAAATAAAACAATTTGAGAGAGCATTATAATTTAAGATACAGTCAGTTAGGGAATCAAAACTTCTGTGAATTACCTTCCCAGGAGAAATGTCACAAAAAAGAATACCAAGTTGATGAAGATGATGTAAGCCAGTAATCAGGTCAATCCCAAATTCTCTCACAACATCTTCTGGAAGGTTTTCATCTTGGGCAATAACTGTTTTTAAGGAGCCACCTGCAAGTTGATTAAAATCACCCATTTTAATTCAGCAACCTTGCACGGTGCATCTGGAAGATGCACCAAGAGATAATGAGCACTAAAAACTGAACAAATCAATCAGTACAGCCAGACAGCCTCCTAGAGAAAATGTGTCTGGATGGACATCATGGTCCAAAAACCCTAAGAGAAATCCATGCTGAGCTCCAGAGCCAGCTCCCAGAGAATGAACTGTAAATAAACAAGCAAGTAGGGTGAAAGGGAGCCTCACTCTGGTGCTAAGAATGCTCACTTCAGATTCCCTCAGGAAATGAGTAAATGCAAAAGTCAGTGGTAAATACGAATCTAAACTGTGCATTTAAACTGCATAACGACAAGTACAGTCACATGCATGCCTATGCAAAACCAGGTCATATCTGCAAAGCACTGCCTGGCAGTGTTGTTAGCTATCCTGAACAGGATAGCTAACCCCTTGATGTAC